ATTTATGTTTAAAAAAGAACATTGAAATGTACTTTTCAGTATAGAAAAGAACACATATTCCAGGTCTTATTTGTGAATGGGTCAAGATTCCAAAGAGTCATCGCCACGTCAACACATCGATTGTTTCTGTTTCAGTTGCATTTACTGCTGGCGATGAAAAATCGATGCACCCAAAATAAAACTCAATCAGAAGCAATTAAAGGACTTTACAATGGAGCGACCGTCGAAGCGAGACAATAAGGACTTGTACAAAGAACTAGATGATCAAGGGCGTTGTCCAGTTAGGGTCAGCGGGCACCTTTTCCAACCCCCTCACTTCGTCAGGGGCGTAGGTGCTGAGGGTCAGGGAACACCTGGCTGACTGGAAGCCGTCTGAGTCCGGATTTATCTGGGCGTCAAAGCCGCCACCAATAAAAGTGGCGAACAAAGCGAAAAGTCCCTAAAGGATTCGAATTTGGCGCGTGGCCGCACTAGGAATAAAATCATGTTGTTGATTCGAAAAGGATATATTACAAACTTATCTAAGAATATAAAAATATATAAATAAATACCAATATGATTATCTTATTATAGTAATATTTTTGTAATATCTATAGATATTTATTATGTTTCATAGGTTTACTAAGACTAAGATACTATAACAAAAGCATTAGGCAGCATGTTATTATCAAAAAGTTTTTTAATATAATCTAGATAGCTTTGTAAGTGAGAGTTCCATTCTAATATTATTGTCTTAATATCAATTTATAGACCATTTTCTTTGGCATATTTTTCTTATTGTAGGATATATTTCAAGATTTTTCTAATTTTAAGACCCTATAGATATCTTTTTTCCTCCGTGCACACTCAACTCGAATCCCTGGCTGACCGCCCGCTGCTGTCCCTCCACTTACATATGTAGGTGCCAAAGGAGTCCCGATTCCCGGGTCTAGGCGAGTTATAGAGAAATCATGGCCATCGGGTTGGCACACGCACTCGTCTCGTGCCGGGACCATTGTCCGCCGGCCGTTACAAATTGTTGTGGGCGTTCCAAATCCGCTTAGGTCTCGCCTTTCTCCAGCTCATCCCTTCACTCGGAATTTAATTTTGTGTGAGTTTTGATTTCGTCCTGCGGAGCGAGTCGCATTTCATCTTGTGTTTGGTTTTTGAGCGTTAAATCGCCAAATCCTTCGGTAATTTTGACGTTTGTCTTTGTTTTGGGAAGCAGTGGAGAGGTGGGGGTTAGGGTGTGGCCCATCGATGACCGGCGGTCAGTGGATAGATGACCCGTACTAGGGGTGAAACCGGAAGGACAGGGAGCCACGCATGTGGGTGGAATTGTTTCCTGCAACTGCTCGTCGGCTGGAGATTAAAAATTTAATTCGAAATTAGCGCAATTGTTGGAATTGCTCCCTTTTTTCGATCGATTCGAGTGGAAAGACAAACAAAATCGATGACTGTCCGGCAGCTGTCGCTTACCCGCTCCGAATAATGGCAACAATTTCCTGATTACTTTTGACCCTTCGAATGCGTTTTATGGTTATCAAGGAATGTCGGTTGTCATTCTTCAGCAATTTGATTTGGTCAGTTTGAAGTAAGGGTTTTCGTTCGGTAAAAGTAGGCAATTAATATTTGGGTTCAGGGAGATAATGCAATGCCAGTGAGTTTCATTAAAAATGCATCTAAAAATATATGTTTCTTATCTCCCCAAACTCAAATCACCACTTCAGTTATGTTATTATATATTATTTAAAAAATATAAAAATTTAAATTGATTGATATGTATAATATTTATCACCTCCCCATCTCATCCAATCTATAAAAATGGAAGAGGACGTCCTTCATAATAAGAGAAAAAGCATTGCAAAACATTTAAAACTTAAGCTGTCGTTTTATTAAATTTAAGTGAGAAAAAATGTATTTAAAATTTGGAAATTAAAATGGATCGGTTTTGGAGTCGATGAGAAATAAAAACCAGAAAGATCTTTAAAGTATCACAGCCTGCTTTTCACACATTTTCTCCTGAAAATGGTGTCTAATTTCGCCGGACTGCTGGACATATCAATCAACTGCTAAGAAATTAGATCGGGGATCCGGATCCGGGGAGGGGACTGCTGCGATAATATCTATATGCCTCGGATGATGGGGGTGGGAAATGACTATAAAGGCCAAACAATGGCGTGTTAATGGCAACTTTAAACTGACACCACTCCACGGGAAGGTTAATCGCTTCCAGGCCGGACATTGGGCACCACCCGCTGATATCTGGGCTAGGGTTAGGATTCGGTTTTTGGGACTCGGATTCGGCGGGGGAGGGCCGCGTGATAAATGCATCGGACCCAGCGGGTGGACGGCCAATAGAGTTGTCAACTCGCTGGCCCAAAAACAGAGCTGACTAGCCCTGCGAATGGGCCAGTTTCGATGGCAGCTGGAATTACACACACGAAACATGAAAAATAGGCCCCAGGGGATAGCGGGAGTATGGCGGCTATGATTCAATTACGCTCAATAGAAATGTCACTAACAAATTTTGCATATTAATTGAATTGAGGCCGCACACACGGAAGAAACTACTACTGCTGCCCCGGGACACTTGAACTGCCAATTGATTTTTGCGGTTTTTCGACAAAAATGTCGAACAAATTGTGCAAATTTTTTACTCGCTCCGGGACACGCCCTTATCAACACTACACTCGGCCATATGTATCTCGTTTTTTATTTGGCCAGGTGTGGCTAGTTGCTGTCGCCTCCTGTTTGTTTTGCATTAAACGGTTTGTTTTGCTAACCAAAGTGTTGATTTTATGGCCGACCACCAGTCCGTTTTTTTTGCCAGCCCCCAACAACGCGAAATCGGAGCTACTGAATCAGCCAGTTAACTTCTAACAGATATGTGCAGCGTATATATCATTTCAATCTCTGCAATTTGCAATTTATATGCTCTTGGAACACTAGAGTTTATTGCGTGGGAGGGTCAGCTATTTATTGGGGGTCAGTTTATTTTAAATATAACAATTCTGGTTTATCAGGGTGTTCCCCCTGTAACACCTATGTCGCAAGTTATTTATTCATGGATCTATCTAAAAAAGCTAAGCATTCCGATTTGGAAAGCTATTCACTACCAACCTTTTCCAGTTTCAAAATACGCCTTATTCACGATGATATCCATTAAATCTTCTGAGTTAGATTGATTACCCCGAAGCCATCTAACAGAAACTATCGCCTTGACACAGGGCTCCATAAAACAACGCAATACAATACTATTCTTTTTATCCGTACTTAATATAACTTTGTATAGTGCCCCATAAACCCTTCATTACACGGCACTAAAGCCGCGGCAATAAAAGCAACTACAGCAACTAAAACCCGAAAATAAAAACTCAATTTGAATTCAAAAACCACCAAAATGGTGCGTGCTTATCGCCCTGCCTTTTCCTGTGGACCCCGACTTTAACCTAAACCTCAACCCGAATCTCAATTTAAACCTGAACCCGATGAGCTCGATAAAGCGACAAAAGCGGTCTAGAAAATAAATTAAAAATACATTTTTACGTAAATGTGGCACATTAAAAGGCGACTTGAGGAAAGCACATAATAAATATAAAAACACAATTAAATAAGTACATAGAAAACAAATTCGAAACGAAAAAACAACCGACACAGCACAACAAAAGGGGAAAACAAAATAAAAACAGAAATAAAAGAGCACACGAATTAAAATAACACCAAGATATTTCAACTACTCGATGTGAAAGAGCAATGGCAATAATAGAGCCTCTTTCTTTATACCCTAGAAAATAGATCTTAGTTTGATGAAAAGTTACAAGGAACTTAAACATGTTGAAAATGTACTACAATTGAAGTTTAAACTAAAATTATCTTTTTTTAATATATTATAAAATATTCCATTTAGATATCCCAACATGTCTGGTCTATATAAAGTCCAAAATGCTCAACCTACGAATTTTTCCCCATAAGCACAGCTGACAAAAGAGGTGTTTAAGACAAGACCCAGCCGGCTCGAGAAATGTTAATGTAAATTTCAATTGTTTTAATTTATTTGTGACCCCCTAGCCACCCGAAAACCCGTCACGGACTAAGTTAATGTTATATATACATATATAACACGAAGAAACAAAAAACTGAATTAAAAAGGCAGAAAAGAGTGGAGTGATTGTCGGTTGGCTCTATTCTTTGGCCTATCTGTCCAATACGTGACTGGCATTCGACCAAGGGATCCCTCCAAGTCCAAAGGGTTTCATAGAGGGGAACGGAACCAACTGTCCCCGCGTATGTGGAGCACAACGAACGGTCTCATAACCGGAGCAATTCCAGATAGTTTACTGAACTCTCTGACTGCTGCCGACTAAAAAAAAGTTCTTCCGAAAAATCGGCTTGTAAAAAACGTAGCGGAAAAGCGAGGAAAAATGCAGCGGAATGTTCGATGAAAAATGCGTTCGGTTTACCATTAATCCGGTGCCTTGATCCAGGGCGACAGATCATTACACACGCGCGGGGCCTCCAAAAATGGGAGGAGTTCCTCAAGTGGGGACATGCGACAGGCGACAGGCGAGTGTCGATGTTCGGGCCCCCTTACATATCGTAAGTATATGTAAATTTATTAATAAAAACTCCCGAAAAAACGGATGCACATGGGTCCAAAAACAGCGGGGTGGGTGTGGTGCAGTTGTTGCCTGTCCGTAATTTATAGACCCGCTGCCAAATGACATGCTAACTAATAGTGTCATCATAATTTATACATACAACTACATTGCATTTGTTATTTATGCCCTAACGCCACCCCTGTCCACCCTCCCGAATCTAAAGTCGTACCCGTGATTTCCATACAGATCCCTGCTGACAGAGGTCACAGCACCCCAAAAGGCAAAAGGTCACGCAGCTTTAATGGCCCCGTTTGACCCTCGGCTGTATTTGAATACCGATTACAATTAAACGGTCATAGATGAGGAACCAACACGTGATTATAGATTGATAGATGTACCAATATTTATTTTACTCAAACGGAAAATTTCGATTTATTCGCTATATACAGTTTATGGATTGCCTATAGATAGATCTTTACAACGGTGCTCCGGAAATTTCTAGATGGGAACTAGTAGGATTTTTTGAGCAATGAATCGGTGTAGTGGGACTTCTAGAACCAACTACCTCGGTGGGATCTCGAAGGATTTGGATCGTAGAGACCTGAAAAACAGATTTATACTTTCGGAAGGAATATTAATATAATAATAATTTTCCTGTACCGTTCGAGCGGGCAGCGTAGCCTCCAGCTAACCTCTGACCTCCACGCATGGCACCAACTCCCATTCCTCCGCCAAGATTCATGCCTTGATTCATACCTTCATTAAATCCCATAGATTCTGACATTCCATTACCCATTCCACGACCCATCTCTTGGCTGGGTTCCTGCCCTACTCCCTGGACCATGGCTGGGCTATAATAATATTTAGACTTATTTCTGGAAAAATCAAGCACTCAAAACTAGACTTACCCCACTTGAGAATGTCCGTAACTGGGCTTGAAATTGGTATACATGTTCAGCATGTTTTGGTTGTACGAGGCGAAAGGGTCGCCTGGCGAAGCGTGATGTGGGTGTGATCCCGACCCGTGGGGACTAAAGTTTTGGGTGTTTGCCTGACTCGAGTGCAACCATTGACGACCACCGCCACCAGGAGGAGTGCCCCTCATTCCCACCTAAAAGAAAGGATGGCCGTGACCATAGACCCCAAAAGGCCGGAAAAAACTCACCTGAGAGTAATTGGGATTGCCCTGACCGCCATGACTGTACTCCCAATTGAACTCCGGACCGTTCTCCATCTTAAGAAAACTTGGAAAATTTTCAAATGATTTTTGGAAAAATTTTGTTGGCCGGTTGTTGTTATACCGATCTGTTACCTAACCGAATGCCGGAATAGAAATGAATGATCTGGAAGCGAGTCTCCTAAAGTAGACATGACTTTTCGTCCTATGACTACATGATTTCAAATTGTTTTACATAATTTATAAGAGTTTAAATTAATATTTAATATTTTCTTCCATACGAAAGACCAACATATTAATTATTATCGTATTCTATCGTCACATTATGAATTTCATTAGCAAAAACCAGTCTATTCTTCTATACACCCTCTTAACGGAATCTTTTGGATCATTTCCCACATAATCTCAGTCATAATAATATTCAAATTGTTAGCAAACAAAAAGTCACAATATACATGTTTTATCACCATCTCAAGTTATGGACAGTAAGCCATTAGCCTAATAATGGCATTTAAAAACGACTATCTAAATTTATTGAATTAGTCATATAAGTGTCTGCGTTGCTGATTTATGGAAGTAGTATCGAGATGCTGGTAGATAAATAAATACATGTTTAAATAAATGTGGCGTAATAAAAATTAATTATGGCAATATTCTTGCCTTATTTTTAAGTGAGGGAGACAAATACTTTGTGTTTGATTTTTAATGAACAGTTGTCTATAAAAAGCGATGGTACAAACAACTATAAGCCAGTCATGTGAGTCATGTGATCTTAAATTTTGATATATATGTAACAAAGATAGATTCATGGCCATCGAGGGACATCTAATAATGGTAAAAGGAAATAATATTTAAGATACTAAGAGTAAACCCTATGTTGGGCCACACTTTGGTAGATAGGGAACCTTATACTATAAATACCGCCTGTCTTTGTAGCGACTTCCACCTGTACTCACCGCATGCCGCACAGCTGTATCTTTCTTTGCTGCCTTTGGCAAACCAGTTCCCTATCGATGTGAGCATTATTTATGTGCTTTGCCGATCGGGGAAACAAAGGCCAAAGGCTGACCTACAAAGGAGCTGCAGACAATGGCAGATGACCTCATAAATTGCATCGTTATGAGGTTCATAAACATATTATTGCTTCATATTCATAACGCACTTGAGCCCAAGTGTCGGCATGTCCTTGGACCAGCAATAGTCCAATATCTACCTGTCGATCCAGAAAAGTATCTCTAGAACCCTAAGATTTATGGCCGGAATGGCGAGGGCTGAAGGCACGTTAGCTCTGCTTTTTTAGCAGCAATTTAAAATGCATAAAACATTTGATGGTCCCTTTAACTCAAAACAAGGCATCAGGAAACAAGAGCTCCCCTCCTTTGATCATGTCCCTGATGGCTAATCCCATTTTATGGCATTCGTGCGGTCTTGGGCCGTAAAATTGTTTTGTCACCTGTTGAAAACGTTTTTTATTTTTAATTGAAAAAATGTTTTAGGAAATGCCTCAAGCTCCACAAGGCACACAAAAATTTCATAAATTTGTTGGTCGCCCTTGCCTAGGGGAAAATGTTTTTCTTTCGTTTGTTGCTCTTTCTATTTTTTCTCCAAACGTCTTTCTAAATTTAGACACGGGAAAATATGAATTTCGACCGCTTAAGGTCCATCCTAAATTGCTGCCAATTAACACCTTCAATAAGCCCGAATTTCAAACGCTCATTTGTCAGGGCCACGGGGGCGTTCAAATGCCTTGTGGCCCGCGAAGAAAACATTTTGATTTATCAACTCTTTTTACATTCCCAACACGAGTGCATCGATCAGAGGCGGAGGACACGAAAATAGCTGCCTGGAACTGGGGAGTCATCGGAGTCATCTGCATTAAGATCCGACAACGACAACACTCGAATCGATTTAACTCTTTGACCCCGCCCACTCGTCGACCCCGAAAGTTCCATGTTTCCCCGTGTTGGGAGTCGACAGGCAACACATGCGAGGGTCTATTAAAAAAATTGTTTATGAAAACAAACGTTTTCGAGGCAATTAATCATCGGCATCAACGGCGCGTGGGGGAAGTGCAGCCATATAGCAGCCTTATAGCACCCATCTTCCGTAACCCCTTCATCTTGGGCTGCTCACGATAATGATAATGACGATGATCATCTCCATCTCTCCATCTGCAGTAGCTGGCTGAGTGCCTCCAATTTTCATTTGGAAATCGTTTTATGGTCCCATCCTGAGATCTTCTGGGAAGGGGGAGTGTTAAACGTCTGCCAATTAGTGATGCTTGTTGGATCTGTTGTTGCGATCGTTCTCCTAATTGGCTAAAATATGAAATGCCTTTCGCCTAATCACTGGAATAAATCGTCTTTGGTCAGAGCACATTGATGAAGATGTGAATCTGCTGGGGGAGGGGCTGGTATATGCTAAATAAAGGGGATTTTAAATAAGTGAAACCAATAAGATAGAAAAAATATACGGTTTTATTTAGTATAGCTTAGCTTGTTTCTTCTCTCATATTTTATTTAAAAAACATTATAAATTAGCTTAAGGCTATTAGTTAGGAAATCAATCAACTCAAAAATCTAGTTCGAATTCTGTTTTCTTTTGCAAAGATTGATATTTCCCCACATGCAATTTTATATATACCTCTCATAGCATTTCTTTGTTGTTGATGGTTGTTGTTGACAATTTGCGATATAAAAACTGATGTCCTGTCCGGCAAATATCCTCGAGGGATGGCCGGGATGGATGGGATGGCTCTGTGTGTGATTTGATTGTGAAAACCGAAACAAACAAAAGTAATTTTTGAATGAAAAGCAATAAATTTGAGAACATTTATTGGTTTTTGGCTGGCTGTCATGTGCCAGAAACAGCAGCAACAACCGAAGGGGCATTGCTTGCATCATTTACCCCGGCTTTATGAGTCGCACAGACGGAAAGAAAAAGATATAGATACATCCACCCACAGATGGACAGATAGTTGACTCCTTTGGCCACTGGGGGTTGCGCCTGGTATGCTGACACTAGTCACTGAAAAAAATTTAAAAAAAAACTGAATAATATTATATTCTTGGTTTTATTGTTAGAATATAAATACTTTTTGTGTTTTATTAAAAACTATATATCCATTTAAATCATATACATATAGTGGTTTATTGAAAACAGTTTTCATAGGTTGAAGCAAAAATTGATTTACTGGAATTTCTAGTCGAAACTTTCAGCATGAGTTCTATCTAGAATTCGAATGCAATTTGGCTACAGGAACTAAAAGAACAACACTCGCACAACCAAATAAAATAAATACAAATTTAAGGAAAATGAAAGAAGTTCAGGTTCATGGAGTTAAGGTTCCAACTTGGGTGTTTGAAATGTTTTTTTTAACACATTTAATCTTCACATTTTATTTGACCAGTGCATTTTGAAGGAGCACTTGAGCGGGTTTCCGTAGTTCGGGCCTCGTCATTAGTCCCCGCAAGGCGCGTGCCCGGGGTTTTCCTATGAGTCCCCGAACCCATCTCCGTCCCCCTTCCCGAACAGATCCCGCCAAGGCCGTAGAAGTGCAGCGACAATGGGCCGGAATACTTCCGCTCGGCAGTTGCAGGAGGAACACTTTCGAATAATAACAATAACAATAAACCCGAAGCGGGACATGCAGGACAATGGAGGTGGTGACCGGCGGTGGTGAGGTCTAATGAAAGGGGGTGGACCCGGTGACCAGGGGTCAGGCAGTTTAAATTGTGTCATGTTCGCATTTGGGACACATCTCCCTCTATTCTCGGGCCTTTTCACCATTGTGGCAGACTCAAAATTGAAATATTACACTTTTCATTCGAAAGCGCCGCTTTGTCAGCAGCAATAACTGTGAAATCAATATCGGAACCTTTGGCGACCTTTTGCCATTCTGACAGATGACCCGAACGTCCTTCTGTCCATTGGCAGGACATTAACTCAAACCAATTTCCAACGAAAATTAATGTGCCATATATGACGCTTCAATGAGTGGGTTCTGTCACTTCCGATCCCCATAAATGTGATCCTAATGATGCCTCTTTTCAATTCCAAAATGAGTCTCATTCCGGGGTCCAGAAGACTAGGCTAGATAGAATGCCATGTCATTTAATTCCTTGAGGGCATCGTATTAAAATTAAACTGTGAGATAAGCGATTAATACTTTAAGATCTTACTTTTGAAATACTATCCATATATTAGAAATATGATTTATACATACAAATATATTTGTAAGAGCAAGTTCATAAAACTTTTCTATATACTTGCTATTGGATCATGAATGTTAAACCTTTTAATCAGGCGTCGACATACAAAACTTTGACCTTTAGTTTCCCATTTGTGTAGGTAATTTGCACGGGGCATCTCATTGATGTGTGTGTGCCAACTGCTGAGGTACGCTGTACGTGTGCCGGCAGAGGCTGAGCAGGGCTATTCCCTGTGCCTATAAAGGGACGTTACTGAATGTTGGTTATCTTTTATTATATCGAAATTAAAATGATCTGATTATTTACTTAAATTTTTTTTAAAGCAAAAGTATATCTTCTTTTAAATCAGATTAATATATCTTTATTTTTAATAAGATATAATAAGGTATGTTTGAATGGGGCTTACCTTAATATTGTTTAAACATGAAGGTTACTTTTTAAAATCTATCTGAGCTATTTTAGGAATGTGGTTCGAATCCTGCGGGCCATTGGCCCTTTCCTGGCTCCCCCTAACCCCTGAACCCTGACCCCTGGTGGCCCCTCTTCCTCTTCTTCCGCTCCACCAACACCGCGCCAACTGTCATCGCATTGTCAATTCTATTTTTATGTTTTATGTTTTTTTCGTTTTGTTTTCGTTTTCATTTATGTTTTTCCCTGTTGTTCTTGGGCTGGTTTTGCGTGGCTTCCGCTGCGCTTCATTTGGTCTCCTCAAGCGGTTGTCTTTTTTTTGTGTGTGCCCTCCTTTCACCACCCCCGCCCCCTGACCTTTTTGTTTTTTTAATATTCGAGTGTAATATTTCAGTTTTTTGTTGTGTGTCTTCCCTTTTTGGGCTGCCTGCGCCGTGTGTGTTGACAATTTGTTGGTTGTTTTGGAGAACCGCTAAATAGCTACAAATTTATGAGCGTAAATAGCCGGCGTAAATCAATTTTTAATGCATTTCCATTTCCATT